TTTCCTTCAAATCATAGAGTACCAAATTGATGGAATTGAATAAAGCTAACCAGCACTATAAGAGTAGTTTTTTCAGGAAAAGCAAAATTAAAAATAAACTACTCGACTAATCGTTGTCATATTGTTGTGGGTAATTTCCAGAGTTTTTTGTTGTTGAAAATGTAAGACCAAAAAATCAGGGTATGTCGATCCTTTCGTGAGCTTAATTCTCGAGGTTTTTTTGTGTGAATTGAAGCTTTCATAATTTTCATTATTCTGCAAAAAGCAGGTTGGACAGTTGTACACCAAAAGTATTCTCGGTGAGAGTTCTGAAATTAAAGGTCAGATAGGCTTTAGTTTTTCAATTTTAACTCGCCACTTATCATGTCTATATATGCATCTGAAATGTGCACGTGTTTTCCGCGAAAAAAATAGCGCTCATTTTGGTATATACAGTATTTGGCATATGAATAGGCTTGAGACAATATTTTCCTAAATTATTCAAAATAAGTCCTCCCATTTTATGCAATGAGAAAATGGGGTCCGTGATGCTTGACTGCGTATCACTAAACAGTAGTTCAGATTGACTGACCTTCAGAAAAAAAAACCAATTTACATGCAGTATAATTTCGCTAACTGATCTTATAGCATGTCACGAATATTTCTAACCTCTCCTCGAAAAAACCAGGGAATGCAAAAGTTTCTGACAACCCCCAAGGAAGGTCTGCAAATGACTATGTCGAATATATATACAACATGACACGGCACCTTCATTTTCTTTTTGTGTTATATTTCTTCAAACTTTGTCGCGGTGCGTTTATGGAGTCGACCTCTGCTGTGGTCGATATACAAGGAAAGATATAAACATTAGCGAGTGATATCACAATCGATCTCTTCAGACCCCGAAATGTGTTGCCTCTTTTTTATTCATTTATTTTTTATATTTTATATACATACCAAGTGCTGTTTCTCCGGGCTTTGCTGGATACCCGCAGAAAATCGAGGAAATCCAATGTAGACTTTGTGTGTGTGTATGAGTCAGGGCAAACTTCATCATTCATGCATCATAGTCTTGTTCAAACAGTGTATCCTGTGGAGTAATCCGCGTTTCTCACCCTGTCCTTTTTTCCGCATTGATTTAACGCATAAATCGGACTATAGAAATTTTATTTGATTTTTTGAACGACAAATAATAAAATATTGGAAGAAATCGTGCCGCTCCCACCTCCTGAAAACTCGAGCCAATTACAGTATAATGAGTTCAGTGATAATTTTGCGCTAAAAGTTGTTTCGAATAATTACGATTCGAGCTGAGTTATTGAAACAGGCGATTTTAAATCGGCAGCGCTGAAATTTTGATATGTTGTCAAAATTCCACCTGATGCTGACCCAGGGTGATAATAATGTAGTTATTTTCTTTATTCAGTTTGTTCATGTTTTAATGAATATTTTCGTCGAAACATGATTCTCCACATCTGTTGAAATTGTTTCTTGGTTTCTGAAACCGGAATTGACCGAGATACTCTTTAAAATTTGCTGGCGGCGAAGAAGTCCGTAAAATACTACATTTTCGAAAATGTTTTTCTTTTGATTTGACTTTCATCTCTGCTTGTACAAAACAGTCTTATAGAAGTAAAGGCGAAAGCGACTCGCTCATCAGTTGTGACACACCCTCTTTGTTTTGCGGTAACGGAAGTAGTAATTACCCTCGAGATTGCTCATCGATGCAATGGCTGAAGCGATATCCGCTGTGGATGGCGGAAGAAGCAATTTCCGGTCGACGAATGGGGGATTCTAGCAGCAATGTTTCAGTCAACAGCAGAACCTGTCCGACGGACACGAAATTCCAAGGCCATGAGGTTGTCGCATCCGGAAGGACGCAGCTCCAGAATCCGGTTTCAACCAGACTCAAAAACTTGTTGGATCTGGTGGCCAGTGAGTCTTGCAAAAATCCTGTTTTTGCAAAACTCACTGAGCCTCACTCAAGGACAAGAAGTGGTTATCACTTCTTTGATTTTCCTAAAATTGGCCAATCCTGAGCCAGGAAGAAATCACCTGATTTCTTCCTGACCCAGTCCAAGCACCTGGGCATAAAAACCCTCATTCCTCTTTGAGAGGAGAAGTCAGAACCTAGTGTTAAAGGTCCTTTTAACTTTGGTTATCTCATTCAATATTCTGAGCTAACCATTGCTGACTTTACCATTACAACCATTGAATTAACAGCCAATTGATGAACTGGGCAATGAGAATGAACTCCTCTAAAAAGAGTTTGAGTTCTTATTCAAAATTTGTATTCTGATGGCTGCACAATTCAATTCCTTTGTCTGGGATCCAATGGACCCATGGCAGAGGTGACATGCGCAAAACAGGCTACTGTAAAACTCGGAATTTCTATGTGCAAGTTTTGCCTGGAACTCAACTTTTTGAATTTCCGGGCCATAAATTTGGATTTCAAGAAAAAAGCGTGATTTTGAGTTTCATACTATAAAAAGAAGACAACGTACCGAATCCTCTCTATTGCAAGTATAAAGGAGGCTTCTCTCAGCTAAAAGTTTTTTGCGGCTATACTGAAAATGCTCGCATTTAATCGGGTGTCGCCAAAAGTTGTTTTCGACGAGAGTTCATCAACAAAATTCGATAATTGTCATCTCATAGTTGAAATTGCCTTGTGATATAGAATTGCTGCTGGCAAAAATTTAGATGTTCAATCACAAAAATTAGGGGATTTCAAGGACACCTTGCAAGTTATTTTGATGGGTTCTGAGTGGTACTCAATTAACTGACACCAAGGAATGTGAACTATAGATTTGAAAACTGGTTTTTTTAATGTACTATATTCATTTCGGGTCGTTTTTCTCAGCTTCTAAAGCTTAGTGTGGCAAAAGTGTATGAAAACCATGCTTGGAGTGTGTTGCCACCGTGCTTTCCGTTTGAACTTTGCAATTACTGTATATTCGCGAATTCATAATTTTGTAACCATTACGGATTCTCATATATGACACTTAAAAGTAAGCTGCTTGGTAAAATGTATTTCTCCAGTCATTGACACCAACATTTCAACGATGAAATGAACACTAATAATTGAAAGTTTTAAAACCAAGAAAACAATTGAAATATTTTGAGCCCACTTCAACTGTTTTCGACATCATTGTGTAAAGAAACAAGCTTTTGAAATTCAACAAGTTATATTCATAGCATTATTGTCTAAATAATCGACCGAATGTTCCGTTTCAAAAACTAAAATAATCGCATGGTGCTCAAAATTTCTGCGTACAATAACGATCGGGTTACGGTTATTTTTATGACCTGGTATAACGATGAGCCATGCGAACGTTTTCGTGTCATACTCAAACTTCGTACATTGAATCACGTCAACTAATAAAATAACCTGGAAAAATTGATTTTTCGATGTTATAATCCTTTAAGGAAAGCAGCTAAAGTCTTTGCCAACAACAGGCTTATAAATTCCTCTCATCCAAGCATCACATGCAAATTATTCATTTTTTTAGTGCCGAATGCTGATGTTTACGAGGCGAAGACACAGAAGTATACGTATGGGGCTTGAAGCCAAAAACGTAGATTTATTGGCCTATAAGTTTTCTCCAGGGGGCGAAATGAAGAAGCGCCGAGACACAGTAATAAATCTACTGCATTATGGATTTTATATGCAAAGAAGTTGTATGTATATATATTTTTTTTAATGCAAGCAGTCCTGCGGCCGAATGTGTTCATGTTCATGGCAAAAGTTTGAAGTAAGATGATTGTGCAATACTGTATTTCGTAGACATGACAGCATGTACATTAAAAAAAAATTGTCGGATGTCCACAGAATTCACACTCTATCGTCGGAAAAAGAAATAAATGAATCGTTGTTTCTCCAATAATAGTCGAGTATTTTTCAAGTGTTTTCCTTTCTTAATACCTTCACGGATTTCCTCGAATAATACAATTTGAATGCGAAATTCGTCGGGAATCTCGGGATTCCGTCCTGAAGGCTGATCTTCAAAAGCTTGAAACATAAAAACACATTGAGCTCTTACAAAGTGCACTGGGATTTTTTTTTTTCAAGATGAAACTTATTTCGTGATTGATACAAAGGAAAACTTGAAAACAAAAAGTAAGCATCAGGAAAAGTTACTCGAGCAATCCTGATTTCACAAACTTGAAAAAAAGCAATAAAAGTCAGGGACCAGACCTAGAATTTCGGCACCTACTTTCGACAAAGGTTTTCAAAATCTTCACGGGACTATATGGACTGCGATTTTTACCGCTCATTTTTTAACCATGTCGAAAACTTTTGAAGGCATCCATAGTCACGAGCAGATTTAAGATTTTTCGAGAAACAGAAACGAGTAGGTCGTTATTCATAATATAACTTTTTAAAAAATATTCTTAAAATTAATTTTTTCACAAAAGATTGCATTGTCATTAGTTTCTAAGCTATCCTGAAAGTTTCAGCTTGCTAGCTAGTCGGGAAGTGAGCGAAATTTGAGTTGCAAAATTTGATCCGGACAAACAAACGGACAAGAAAGCGAGTTAATAAAAACGTGTTAAAATATAACTCTATCCTGAAAGTTTCAGCTTGCTAGCTAATCGGGAAGTGAGCAAAATTTGAGTTGCAAAATTTGATCCGGACAAACAAATGGACAAGAAAGCGAGTTAATAAAAATGTGTTAATAAAAATATGTCAGTCTAAAGATGACGCTTCCTGTTGTTCTCAGCGGAGAAACGTTCTGCAGATAGCCAGAGTTGGTCTGTTATTGAAGTGTTTATACATAAAACTTCAATCTATATAATTATTTCTCATAGCACAGAATTTTCAAGTCAGTGACGTTTCAATGAGTGTGTTTCAGCATCCGAAACTCGAAGATCGGTCATCTAGATGTCGCCTCCTATCAATCTCGGCTGTGCTGGTCGCGCAGCACGAGTCATGAAATCATACGAGTCATGAGGTCATGACGAACATGCAAGGAGTTGATCGAGGAACAGTTGGAATATCGGAATGCAGTACAGTACCACAATTAGAGCGGAAACAACATATTTATGTCCTGCCTCTCCTCAGCAGAAAGTCGGAAAGCGGACGAGGAAGGATTAAAAGGGAATGGCGGGATAATTAAACCAGCCACGGGACTATAGGGATGAAAAGGAAACAAGTAAAGGCACTAATATTATCGATGCTGGACACGATGATGCCCATAATCCAGCAGCTATTGAGCTGCTGAACTTGATGCCCTCGGCGTTGCAGCCGTCAAAGTCGCAATAACAGCAGAGCTTGGGCAGCTTCTCGGGCCCATTGTTGCCAGTGGGGAAGTGCTTCATGAGACTCTGTGGGCAATTCACGCACCCGGGCGACAAGTAAGTCATACATCCCTTGGCCACCACATTGCCAGCTGAAACGAGACCGAGAAATCCACGTGGCATATCAAGTTTTCAGGTTTTTTTTCTTTTTCTTTTTCAAGCTGAGTTGAGCGCAATGTTGTTAAAGTCGCCCGGGTATAGCTGAATTCCCCCACAGAGCCGCCATGTGAAGCAAAAATGAATTATTCACATATGGAAACATTAATTACAGAAGTTTTGCCTACAATTTGATGAAGCAACATCTTGACAAGGGGAAAGGGATCAGCATATACAGGTGAAATCTCTACAAAAAATGCAATGGATAAGGAAAAAATTACATTGTATACAAAATTTTGTTGTACATAGACCAGCAGTGTTCTGTTTTATTCTGGAATAATGTCGCAATATATAAAGTTCTCTTGTTCTGCTTTGAAAAAATTTTGGTCAAATTGTTATATTGTATACAGATTCTAGGGAATGCATGTACTGTATATGATTTTTTTACATTATTTTCATCCTGAACTTTTCACGAGCACAATTGCAAGAGGAAATTAACTGGAAAAGCTCTCTCGTACCCATCATTATTTAGTCCATATGAAGCACTGATTAGAAGCTAAATAGCTAAAAAAAAGAAAAAGAAAAAAACAAACCTCTGCGGAAATCCTCGTAGGCTGTGAAGCACATGGTGTTGGCAGCACAAGTCATAGGCTGACCATTCACCCGATAACAGATCCGCATCGAGTCATCGTTCCCTACAATCAACATTATTCAAAACAGAATTTATTTAACGTACACCATTAAAGGGGGAAATGAATTGAGGAAACGCCAATACATCAATTTTGTGACAGACCAAGTATAAAATTCTTAGATTAATCTAAAAGAGAAAAGTGCATGCATTTACAAAAAATGTCTCCTCTTATCAATACAGGTGGTACCTTGCAATTCAACCATCCCACAATTTGACGGTCAAATTTGCTGGGAGGTCAACTCTTAATTTGACCTGTGCTGCGCAATTTGACCTGCAAAGAGACATGAAACATCAAATGCCATTTAGAAAACATGCCATTTGATGTTGTCTTGCAATTTGACTGCTTTGCAATTTGACCCTAGTCCAGCAACAGATTAGGGTTGAATTGCAAGGTAACACCTGTATATGCCTTGTATTTACAAAATTCATACACTGAACTCTGGTATATAGCAGTACTTTTTGTCTAGCTAAATAAATATTAAATGCATGTGATATCATATCTGGTACTCGAAACGAAAAAAGGCTTTGGGTGTTTTAAAACATGGCTGCTTTCTAGCTATACATCACATCAGTTTCCAAAGTTTGAGTCATATCTAAAAGTTTCATTTATATTCATAGCTTAATACTTGTGACTATAAAAGTTGAAACGGAGCGCATTTTGTTAAAAAATTGAATACTCCACTCATATTATTGACACCGCAATTTTTTTTTTTAATTTAAGGAGACGCGTGTTTTCATCTGGAAGTTTGAAAGTGCTATACTGTAAAATAAGACGCCTGATAAAAAATAAAATAGGTATCCGAAAGCAACACCATGTCAGTTAATTGCTCGTTCAATTTAATCAAATATTTTTAACAATCCTCATTTATTATCGCATAATTTCAGATTCTAAAATTGATTCCAACTCCTGTTTTTAATCGAAATTTGGAAAAATGAGAGCACATGCTTCCTACGGAATCCGCCACATTGCACGTACATCTTTCTATCATATAAAACCGATACACAGCCAATTATTTCAAATGGGAAATTTATGAATTTAAAAAATTAATTAATCATGCAGCGATAACGCAAAACCCCCATGAATATAGGAAATTTTATCTTTTGATCAATAGATATTTCCCGTGGAGTTAGCGTGAATATGCTTGTGTCGATGAAGGCAAATGAATAATTTCCATCGTTTAAAAAAAAAATCGTAGTACAGCAAAATCCGCTTTCGAAGCCTTTGATTTACAGAACATACCTGAAACTGATTGACCCAACAAAAGGATCAATGACAAGACCGACGACACCAAGGGGAAAATATAATAGCCCATTTTTTATAACTGGATATGCAAATCATACCATGGCCGCAGAATTTCTTAGTGAGTAACTTGATAAGAGTCCCTGAAGCTCAGAGCATTCTTAAAGTATTCTTCTCAGAATACTTGGCTTTTTTTTTACTGATGGAAAATAACCTTCACGAAGTATATTTCCGCTGTCAGTTCATAAAAGTTCAAAAGGCGACAAATTCCAGTTCGGATGGATTTTTGTTTTAGGCACACATTTATCGAGAGCGTGTTGTTGAAGGTTGGTTTGCAAGATGAATTTTTAATTGCCTGAAAGTTATAGAAACTTTGTCGTAACGTTGAAAGTTTTTAGGTACTGAGTCACGTTTCTTTTTTTTCTTACTTACTTTAGAGGGTTTACGTGTATTACGCATTTTACTCCGATTTAATCCGATAAGTCGCTTATCGATTATTCCCCGCGTGAAATTGGAAGTTCTTAGTCTCCGTTCAGCGAGGTGAGTTTCAAATTTATCTGCACGATGAAATATATTGAGATTTCGACAGCTTTTTCCTCAAATCTAAACGTTTTCAACAGTAACTGGAAGTGCTTATTTAATAGCTGAAATTCACTAGAGCTATGCAGTGATTCATGGCCTATACTGCAGAGGTTGTCATTTCAGTTTGTTATGGTACTGAAGTTGAGCCATTAAGTTTTTCACCCCAAAATAAGCTGATTCAGCCTGAACTTGCTGGTTTATTGCAGGATTTTGCTTTTTTTTTAATAGAATATTAAACTGAATGGTAGGCTTTTCTGAGTTCCAATGAGGCACTAAAATTCTACCCATATTGTCACTGAAGTTTAAATAACTGGTTTTACACCCTTATACTTACCCTGGTAATTCCTCTTCTCCCTAAAAATCCAATTTCACTTTTCCTGTGATTGATGGTAGTGGTTAATGTTCCAGTTAACGCTTGGATGGTGGCAGCCTCCTTTCCATTCCAGGACAAAGTTGGACTTATTCCCCCTTGGGCCTAAATTTTAATTTTTTCTCTAGGTTATGCCACCCCTACCAGGGGAGAAAGGGCAAAGTCAGATTATGTCCAGGGTTGAAGAAATTCAGGGAAAATTTTTGAGTCAGATTTTTCTGTAGTGACCTCTGACATGGGCTCCAGGCTTTCAAGCTTAAATATAATGGGGGAACAGCACAAGGCAAGGGGAAAAGAGTGAGCCTTGAAGATTAATTTTTTTTTTCAAGTGAAATTTTTCTAAAAAACAATACCTGGATTTTTCCTGAATTTTGCCCAGCACACACTGTCATGGTTTTTTAAATGCCATTCTTGAGTGCACCCAAAATGTGCAAAGAAAGTCCCAACTTTAGCACAGAAGGATGCCTGTTTTAAATCTAGCGTGCTGTTTGCCCCTCCCTTTGCTGCATATCTATCCCATCAACCTGTCTATCTGTATCTAAACCTATCATCTAAAAGTGAAATACTATTTCATAGTATCTTCTGTTTCTTATATTCATGGTCCAGTAATGTGCAGTAGTATTGTTCCACCTTGGGGTCAGGAAATCAGAGCATAGGTGTGTGTCCTCTTCTAGATTTCCCCTTTTCAAATTTAAATGGAACATTTCCATTTAAATGCTCAGAACCATTCTAGAGTCTGAATGGTCAACTAAGGATTAGGACTATTAGTAAAAGACTTAGTTTGTGTTTCTTGTCAGTCCTGATTTCCCCTTTTCAAATTTAAATGGAACATTTCCATTTAAATGCTCAGAACCATTCTAGAGTCTGAATGGTCAACTAAGGATTAGGACTATTAGTAAAAGACTTAGTTTGTGTTTCTTGTCAGTCCTTTATTTTGATTTTAAACCTGTTGCCCTTTTTTTTACTCATTAATCTTTATTTGATTAATGTAATTATTCTGTACAAAAAATTATGTCCTTTCTTATCCTGTAATTCTTCCATCCATAAACCTATGCTAAACTTCGCAGTGAATATTGGTTACCAACAGACAGCAATTTTTTTTTAGGTTTATAGTAATACAGCGAAATGGCAAGTCCCGAGATCAATCCGGCATGTTTACCCCCGCAAATCGATTATTTTGCAAGTCGTGAAGGCGCTTGGGAAACTGCAGTCAGCAAGATTGACAAACTTTTGGATCCCAAGACAGACACTGACACCATGGGTGTCTGGCTGCTGACCCAGTAAGTACAGTACCAAATTTCTATAAATTATATAAGAGTGTAAAATGTCTGACCCAATTTATTCTTTCAACATTTTGCAACAAGCTTTTTAGTAGATTTTTTTCGCTTGTCCCTCTTCAAAATTTTGATTTTTTCGAGAGGCCAGACTCGAGAGATATTCAATTCGAGTTTATGAATAACTTGTAATCTTATTAAGGATTGACCATTGGGACCACGAAATGGAGAAGATCATTGTGGTGACCAACTACTCATTGTACATCATCAAGTTCAACTTCATTTCCCTGCAAGTCGTCAGTCATCAGCGAATCCCATTGTCTCTGGTCAAGCGGGTCACAATCGGGGATTTGAGCTACCCTTGTCGCAGTGTTTCCCCGTGAGTCACATTTATTCAATCCAAAATTTCATTTTTGATCGCCAGAAAAATTTTAAAAAAATGGAATGAACTCAAACTTTCAACTGAGGCTGTTCAAGATTATAACACACATTTTTACCTCATTGCACAGCAACATAAAACTAAACATGAATTTTTCCTCATTAAATTCTTCACGTAAAAGAATTTGACACCCAAAAAAATAACTAAAGAAAATATTAAGGGGTCAACAAATTGATGATTTTTTTCGCTCGACGAGTTTCTGGTGCGATCAAAAGTGTGCTGTACTCCAGGAAAATTTTATTATTTTGCTACTTAAAAAATTTGACACCCAGAAAAATAACTAAAGAAAATATTAAGGGGTCAACAAATTGTGGATGATTTTTTTCGCTCGACGAGTTTCTGGTGCGATAATAAGTGTGCTTTACTCCAGGAACATTTTATTATTTTGCTACTTGAAGAATTTGACACCCAGAAAAATAACTAAATAGAATATTAATGGGGTAAACAACAAATTGATGATTTTTTTCGCTCGACGAGTTTCTGGTGGGATAATAAGTGTGCTTTACTCCAGGAAAATTTTATTATTTTGCGCTTAAAAAATTTGACACCCAGAAAAATAACTAAATAGAATATTAATGGGGTAAACAACAAATTGACGATAATTTTTAATGCTCGACGAGTTTTTGTTGCGATAAAAAATGTGCTGTACTCCAGGAAAATTTTATTATTTTCTTGAATCTTGTTACAAAGAATATTCGTTTACAATGAAGTCGTTTTTCAAGTCCCTGCCCAGCAATAGCCATGTTAAAACAGGTTATTTCATAACTAAAACAAAGCTATTTTCCTGCTTGTGGTCGCAACATCGGCTTCGTTATTGTAACGCGCTTTTTCTGTATTTGTCACAGCCCGAGATGCGTTCAAGGCATCAAGCTGGAGTGGGAAACCGAATGCCCCGTGAAAAACTCTCAAATGTGGAACCCGTGGTCTGAAATGCCGGAAGTGCTGCTCATGTCGCATCCCTTGCTTCTCTACCCGCCACCGGAAGTCGAGGACTTTGAAGGGGAAGGACCCCCACCGGAACTGGAGTACCTCGCGAAGTTGCAGCACCTAAAACGCGTTTTCCAAAACGTTCGGGACCTTCGACGCGGCCTAGCGCTCCTGTTTCACGCTGACACGTTTTCGGGGTAAACGTAAGCGTGAATACGGCCGTAGATTTCAATCATCTTCAATGCCAACGAAATGGGCTATTTCAAGTCCAGAGTTGGCACACTAGCCTTTTAATCCTGCATGCGCTGTCTCCATAATTTTTTTTTTTGGGCTGAGAGGAAGTATAATATTTGAAGCGAGTGATTTGCCGCATGCAATGATTTTTCCTAATGATTGCAACTGTGAAATATTTTTACTTGATCTACCTGCATAAGATACAGTCAACCCCTGCCCAATGGACTTGATTTAGTCTGTTATGTGAAGTCTGCTAAGTGAATTCAATTATTATAGTTTAAAATTTTTTAAAATTAATCAATTTTAAACCAACAAAAGTCTGTTGGGTGGATTTTGTCCATTATAGGCAGTAGAAAAACTGCTTCAAGATAGGCAAAACATTCCTTAGGCAAGAGGTCTGTTAGGCGGGGGTTGACTGATAATCCTTTGTAAAGACCATAAAAAAATTAATTTTAGATCTTTTTTCTGGAATTCAGGATCCCCAAAATGTAGCCCAAATATGATAATGTCTCAATATACATGAAAGCATATTATACATTTCTTACAAAAGCAGTTCTGTGGTTGGTAGGTTCTAATTTTCCATGGTTTAATTGGATACTTTTTAGTATTCGGCATCAAAAAGGTTTAACTGGGACAAGTCCAACTGTTCCATAACTTATTTCATGCTTGTTTTTCCCTATTTCCCCCGGAATCTATCATAATTTATAAATCTTAACAACAATGTTCCAGCTAATTTATTGAAAATTTGATCCAAATGGTAAATTCTTTTTTACAGCTGGGTCTTGAAATTCCAATGGAAAGAGAATCAGATTACTGTACTTCTCCATAAAGCAAAATTACTAAACGATTTTTGTCACTGATGAAAACGGTTTTGGTGGGACTTCATACTCTAGGGAAAAAATATTATTTGCTGGTTCATCTCCTGAATGGGCAAATTTGTTGAAATTAATTGAAATATGCATTTTCATCTGAAATCCCAGGTAGTTAAATGTTAGAAGAATGCATCAGTGAAGGTGTAGCTAGTGTGTGACTTTTTCCCTCGATCTTCACAATGCTTTGTAGATTAGTTTACTGAAATCTTCCATTTTGAAAAGCAATTCATGTCAATATTAATTTGCTAAGGTTCTATGACCAAGACCAATGCATGTTATCTTTGAAGGTTGCCCCTACATACATATATGGGTGAAAGTCATTTTCTTATTAAATGTGATTTTAGCATTAATCTTTGTTTAGGTTTATTAATCAGTAATAAAAATGGCATACTTACCCCCTCCAGAAGAATACTCAGCTGGTTCTGAAGGAACTTATGATTACATGAAGATGGAAATGAGCAGTTGTTTTGACCCTGACTTGATGGACGTATGGGTTCTAACAGAGTATGCTTAACATCCCTTGAAATTATTGTTGGGAAACCACACCTACGCAACAAATAATGTTAAAATTAAAATTATAAAAAACTACAAAAACCTTGCATCAGATAAGAGAACCAACCCTCAAAGGAAAGGAACTCTTCAAGGAAAACTGGACTATACTGAAGAACAATGAAAACAGGAACCCATTATTGCACATTGTCATTCACCAAAGAACAAAGCCACATTTGCAATCAAACTTTTGCTGTGTGTAGTGCAGAAAATTAAAAATTTTTAAGAGTCCTGCTGAGTTGTTTAAAGTGTTGCTGAAGTTATCCACTCAAAATTTGTGTGTTGGGACAAAAAGTGAAATAGAATTCAAATAGTTTTAAATAAGAAATCCTAAAAGGATTCCTGGCCTAGTCCCAGGCCGATTCTGCCTTTTATTTCTTAAATTTTGAACTTTACTTTATTCTTCATGTTTAGATCCACTAGCAATTTCTTTCACATAAATGTTGAGGTAATTTATTAACTTAAGTCATTCATTACCCTGTTTTTTTTTTTTAGCTTCATATAAAATGAGTTGACATCTTCAATGTTTTTCTCTCCCCACAATCAATTTTTTTCTTCAAGAAATTTTCCAGTGACTTTCAGCATTTAAATGTGTCCCATAGGTTATCTCATTGGGATCATGAGTGGGAGAGATGCGTGGTGCTAAGTGAGGACTACCTTTACTTGGCCCAGTATGACTTCACTAACAGAAGTGTAAAGTGCCTGAGAAAAACTATCAAGCTTAGCAATGTCAAGGACATCACTATTGGAACCATGTGCTATCCTGAGTTCACTCTTTCTCCGTGAGTATCATGATAATCTTTTTTTTTG